TTGCGGCCACAAGCCAAGGAATGCTGGCGGCCACCAGAAGCTGGAAGAGGCAGGCAACGAATTCTGTCCGAGAGCCCTCAGAAGGAACACGGCCCTGACAACAACTGACATTGTCCAAATGATACTGACTTCAGACTTCTAGCGTCCAGAGCTCGAGAGAATAAATATGTGGTGTTTTAAGACACCATACACCATAGATAAATTACTTCTGGTAATTTACTATGGCAGCCATAGGAAGTTTATACGTGGTGCCTGTAATATTTACAGCTCGTTTCCAAATGGAATTGCCCTAAGGTCAGCCGCTGCTAAAGGGTAGTTTGTGCAGCACCCTAATGTCTACAGCTGACTAGATCGGGAAGGGTGCTTGATGGGAGGGGCGTCCCTCCCAGGCCTGGACAGTGACTCTGCCTGTTAATACCTATATGGCTATGAGAAATTACTGAACCTCTGTACCTTGGTTTCCCTAGATGTACAATAAGGATAAAAATAATTCCTTCCTCACTGGGTTGCTATGAAAATTAAATGATTTAATAGATGCAAAGTACTCACAACAGTGCCTGACACATAATAAGTGCAAAATAAATCACGTGATGTGGTGTCACCTGGCATACACAAAAGAATGAACTCAGCTAACAGGATTCTCTCTCTCAGAAATTGAAATATCAAGGGAAATACAAAAAAAAAAAGCAGCTGATAGACATGAACCTGAAATGATGTATTAAAAAAGATCCAGGAGGTAGAGGCACAGCCATTAAGGGTTGTGGCAAACTGAAGTTATAAGATAGAAAAGAAGCTGTTAGATAAAGAAAAGATACAAAAAGTAAAGCAAAGGAATAAGTTAGTTGGAAGCAGATAAGCACCAGAAAGAGTCGCCATGAAGAAACAAAGACAAGTGGAGGAAAGAAGACAGTCATCCTCTCTTCAGAAATGAAATTGTATCAAGGGTAAATCTTGAATTAAAGTGTGATGTGGTTACACGAGACAAAGACTGCAGACAAAACACAGGTCTACCAACTCCTGATTGTGGCAGGTGAACGTTGATAAAGATACTAAAATCTGAGGCTCACTTTCCTGTGTGAAATAGACCAGTAACAATATCTACAGATCGGATTTTGAGGGTGATGAAATAAGATAACGTAGGTGAAAGTGACGAGCATGGTATCGGAGACATGTTTAAGTGCTCAGTCGTTGCTTCTGTTTTAACTTAAGAGTGTTACCTCAGGACATCTGAAAAGGCTTCCACTCCATATTTGGAGCAACAGTAGACTGTTCCAAAGAAAGCAAGCCTTCCCAGAATGCTGGAGACATTGACGATCCTCCCCTGCGCTCTCTTCACCAAGGGAAGCATGCTCAAGGTCACCTCTATCAAACCAATGAGGTTGACTTGGAGGGTACTCATGCAGGCGTCAATCTTCAGCCAGTCAGTGTAGCCAAATGAGTGAAAAGTGCCTGCGTTGTTGACCAGACCCCAAAGTCCTAAAACAATAAAGGCAAAGCAGGAGTTTAGTTTCAGACAAAAATGAGAGACTTCTACCTTGATCATTCTTCCTGCTGAAAACAAAATGCTAGACAAAATATAATTTTTCAATCTTCTTAAACACATCTATCAGTAAGAAAGTATAGAAAGGTCAGGCTAAAAACTAAAACAAGGTAGGAATCCAGGGAAGGTAAACAGAACACTGATGCTAGCTTTTTGATTCAAGAAAATTTGCCAACCAGTGTGAAATTGAAGTTCAGTACCTATAGCCTCAAAAAACATACACATTAAGAAGGTATGAAGTCCAGGGCCCACCTAAGGTAGGGAATCTAATGAAAGACACTTTCTTCATTAAACTGGGATGCTAACTGGCTACACTGTCACATAAGGGTGAGATAGAAAGTCCTTCCAAAGGACTGAAAGTATAACTGCCTGTCTTGAACTCTGGTGTTGGGAGAATTGGCCCTGAGGAATCATAACCACAGGTCATCCCTCATAAGAGTTTGTGGCTGAATTCACACTGAGAGGCCGAAAAGGCAAAAAACAAAAAACTTCAAGACAAGAACTAAGTTTAAGGTGGCCAAGTGCCCCCTGGCACCTGATGGAAGCAAATGTAGATCCTCTCTGAAGGAATCTTTACGTCAGGCCTTGAAGAATCACTGAGAGAGTTACTAAGAAAAATAGCAGTTCATTGTCATCAGTCACTACATACGCAAGGTTAACAAAGCATCACAGGCAAAAAAAAGCAGAAACCATAGGCAACAGAGAAAGGCTCACAAGGACTTTAGATACCAAAATTTATAAGACACATAAAGTAAAATATGTTTGCTAAATGTGAGTTTTAAATAAAAGGAATTGAAAATATTAATCAAGACAAAATACTATCAAATTGATCAAGAAGATTTAGAATGAACCAAATAGAAGTTCTAGAAATAAAAGTTATAATAGCTGACATTCAGTGGACGGATTAATAGCAGACAGAAAGAGCAGAAAAGAGAAAATAGTGAGCTGCAACATAGAAAAAAGGAGACATTTAGAATACAGTCCAAAGAAAAAAGAGATGGAAAAGAGCGAAAGAAAAGAGACACAAGAACAAATTAAAAACATCTACCATGTATCTAATCAGATTCAGGAAGAAAAAAGAGGGAAAATGGAATAAAGGCAATATCTGAAGTCACAACAGATGAGAATTTTCCAGACTCGACAAAACACACTAACCCATAGAATCCAAAAGCCAAAGAAACCCCAAGCAGTATAAATAAAGAAATTCACATCTAGACAGACTAAAACAAAGCCTTAGTAAGACCAAAGGAAAAGAATATCCTTAAATAGTCAGAAAGAAAAGACAGATTTACAAAAGGTGAAACAGGCTGACAGCTGACTTATCAATAGTAACAACAGAAACCAGGGGACAGTGGAATGGGATCTCCAGTGGGCTGAGAAAATAACTGTAAACTTACAAATGCTTATCTAGGCATGAAGGTAAGGACATTTTAAGAAATGTAAAAAAACAAGAAGAAGAAGGAGGAGGAGGAGGAGAAGAAAAAGGAGAAAAAAAAGAAAATGAAAGGAAAGGAAGAAAAAGAAAAAGAGAAGTTTTACCCCTAACATCTTCTAAATTCTAAAGAATATACTTAGTCAGGAGGAAAGTAGTTTTAGATGAAACATTCAAGAAGGAATGATGAAGACAGAAAACAGTAAGTAGGGAATAAATCTAAACATCGTATATTGTAGGGCCAAAAAACAGAACTAAAATACATACTAGCAATAGCATGTATGTCAGAGGAGGTGATTGAAGTTCAAAGTGTTCTGAAGGCCTTAGATTAATCAGGAGAAAAAAATAATAAAATGACAATTGGTAGAGTAAAGATTCAGTTAAAATTTCTAGAGGAACCACTAAGTACATAGGAATAGAATATGTTACTTTCAATTTAGTAATGGAAAATGTGTAATAAAAATCCAGTCAATTCACAAGAGGGAAAGAAACAGAAAAAATAGGACAAATAAGCACAAAATAAGATGATAGAAATAATTCAAACATACCAATCATTAAGTAAGTGTAGATGAATGCAATGTTCTCGTCAAAAAGGCAAAAACTGTCCAGCTGAATTACTTTGTATATCTAGCTGTATGCTATTTACAAAAGACTCATATAAAATATGGAGATATAAAAAGTTTGAAAGTGTAAAGTCAGAAAAAGGCTCTGAGGCAACAATCTTTGTCAGTGAAGGGATGGTAGCATACTCCCCTGAGAGAAGGGCCAAGGAGAAAAGCAGGTGTGGTGAAGAGAAGATAAAAAGACAGAGTCCTCCTTTAGATTTTATGAATTTGAGGTTCCAGCAGAATTTGCAGATGAGAAAGCCAGCAAGCAGTTGGGAGTTCAGGTGTGAAGAACAAGAAATAACATAGAAATCAAGGGCGTAAAGGTAATGGTTAAAACTGTAGGTAGGTGGGGTCCATTCAGCGTTGGTTGAGCCCGTAACATGTACCAGGCAAGATGTCAGAAACTGGAGTTATAGCAATGGGTAAGAGAGGTCTGTGTCCTCAGGGAGCACACGCTCTAACTGATGGGAAAATAATGACAACAACAACACTGTGGAAATAAACTGCTCCGAACAGCACAGCACAGAGGCTGTGACTACCTGTAACTCCTGGTTCTGCCTGGGGGAGTCAAGAATGAGCTCAGGTGGGAGTAATAGTTTAAAGTGAATTTTCATATTTAAAGTACATTAAAAAAAATTAAACATTCTGCAACCCAAGCAAAACAATTTTATTGCCAGTTTGCAACTCCTAGGTTGAATAGACATTTAGGAGGTCCAATTAATAAGATGTATTAAATCATAAAACAAGGGGGAGGTACAAGAAAGAGGTTAAAGAGGATTTGGATAATATCCAAAGAAAATGCAACTTAGAAAAGAGGATTTCTCATAATTGCCAAAAATTGAAAACAACCAAGATATCCTTCAATATGTGAATGAAGAAATAAACTGTGGTAACTACAATAGAATATTATTGAGCAATAAAAAGAAATGAGCTGTTAAGCTACAGAAAGACATGGAGGGACCTTAAATGCATATTGTTAAATGAAAGAAGGCAGTCCAAAAGGCCTTACACAGCATGATTCCAAGTATATGACATCTGGTAAAAAACAAAACTATGGAAACAATAAAAAGCTGAGGAGTTTCCAGGTTTGGGGGAAGCTGGTGACGGAGGAAGAGATGACTAGATGGCTCACAGAGGATTTTTAAGGCAGTGAAATTATTCTACATTATGCTATTAATGGTAGATATGCAATAATTTCTATTTCGCAAAACCCATAGAACTGTGTAACACAGTGTGGATCCTAATGTAAACTACAGACTTCAGTTAATGATGATGCAGCAATATTGAGTCATCAAATATAATAAATGTGGCACGCCAATGCAAGACGTTAATAATAGGAGAAACTATAAGGTGAGGGCTGTATATGGGAAATATGTACTCTAGGAACCACTCTAGGAAATGCAGTTTACTAATTAGAAAAAATATAAAATAAAAACTTTTTTTTAAAAAAGAAGAGGACCAAAGGCTGACTTTAGTGAATGTCTATATTTTAGATGGCAGCCAAGGGAAGAAGAATTGATTTCTAAACAACACTTTGAAAATTCTTCAAGCAAAGAATTGTGGTTGTAAACATTCCAGTTGCAAGGTGGGATAATAGCATCAAATCCATTGGGTTCATTTTTCGACGTGAAATTGTTAAGAAAATGAAACAGCACAGAAGATCAAGACTGTCCTTCAAATGACAAAGACAGCATTTAAGCTCTTCTTTTGAGATTTTATATATATCTAAAATATGTGATATAGTATATATATACACATTATATATTTGAGATATATATATATATATATATATATATATATATATATATATATATATATATAACTTTAACATCTTCATGCCTAAGTAATGAAAGAAGAAAATAATTCTCTATACCTCTGTCCCCCACACGCTCTTTCACCCACTGGGTGGCCGCAGCGATGCTGTGTGTGTTGGTGACATCCAGGATCACCGTCTCCACCCTATCTGACGTCTGGCCCTTCAGCTTCTGGGCCCCCTTCTCCGTCAGACACGCAGCCAGCACCCTGAGTCCTCGCAGGTCCAGCTGCCTGGCCAGCAGGTTCCCGAAGCCCGAGTCACAGCCCGTGATGAAGACGTACTTGTCCCGGAGGTGGCTCACCACCTGCCTCTCCCGGTACCAGCGTAGGAGGTAGAACAGGCCCACCAGGGCCGCCAGGTACAGCCACATGGTGAGAAGATCTCCTTCCCTTTCAAAAGAAAAAGAACAGTTTTATTTTATTCCTTCCTTTTTTCTCTAACCAGTATTGAGTATTTACTATGTGCCAGGCATTGCACGAGGTGCTGGGACTCTTTATTAACTAATATTTAGTCCAACCCTCTAGTCACAGTCCAGGGAGGGAGTCAGGGAAGTAACCAAATAAATGCACTGCCTTGTGATAGGTGCCAACAAAAGTGTACACACAGTCTAATGAGGCTGCAGAAGAGGGCCAGTGACCCACTGCCTGCAGAGTTAGAAACAGCTCCACAGAGGCGGTGATTTTGGAGCTACTTCCTACAAGATAGTTGAGTTCAAAAAATGGACAAGGATGAAAGGACACTCCAGGCAGCAATAATGTGCATGTGAGTGGAGT